AGAAGGTGCGGGATGGGCTGCGTATGCCTATAACCAAGCGGACATGTGGGGCTCGTTGGCGACTGAATGCGTGACAAAGTTTCAGGACTACGCGGGAACCCTTCCAGGGTGGGAGCCGAGCAGTAGGTAGTAGCTATGATCCATGTACCATGTACATAACCTTGTATCTCCATTGACAAAGTATGAAGGTGAGTGCGTGCCATTGTGGCTGAGAGAGCATGGGCCATCAATGTACCGGCCAATAATGGGTATCTCCCCAGCTTGGCTGGAACCGGCGAGCGCACACGCGGTGGACGACCTGAGGTGGAGCCGCCGCCGAACCGCGTTGGCTGCATCTCATATGGCGGTGCAGGCCCAGCAAAAAAGCAGCGTCTCACATGCAGCCGGCGACTCCGCATGACGTCGACTCTCTTAACACCAGCACCTGCACTTGACACGGCGCCGGCGGCCCAGCCTGTCAAACCAGGTGGGGTGGCAGCCGCCGGCCGGCCGCCTGTGCCGCACGAGCTGGACTAAACTTGGCCGGCCAGTCCACTTCATGTGGTGTGTAATGGAAATAAGGGTCTGGAGGGCGAAGATGCGAAACAAGTGCAGGAAGCTACATTGGATGAAGATACTTGAATAGATGTGCATAAAATAGCAAGGTCGTACCTCGCGACTGGTGTATTCGGGACTCAAAGTGATCCTGATCTTGCTCAATCATGCAACTGATGCTGGAAGGCTTGCAATTACTCAGTATCAGATTGAAAAAGCGCTTGGGTAAGGTAGCTCTTCTGTGATCAAGTTTACCACTGCGACATATCGTACTCCACCTCGCCCTCCGATATCGCCCCCATCGCCCCCACCCTCTTCGCCTCCCCATCTACGCGCCCTTCGCTTCTCCAGCTTCCATACCCCCGCTTAGCCATCCCGCTTCACCCGCTATCCCTTGAAGGCTCGCCAAACAGGTTGCCCGCCGACCCGGAGGACACGCAGTGTGCTACGATCGACCTTGGGTGCGTCCAGCACACCACTTGCGGAGGGTTGGCGCAAAGGCAGGTCTACGAAAAGGATAGCACCGAACGCCCAACAGCCGGTCGCAGGATAGGAGGCGGTGGCGAGACAACAGGAAGCGCATTCACCTTGACGCATTAGGCGTCTTGAGCGCGCTCCGGCCTTCAGACCACATCCGAGTGCGGGCTCCGGGAGACCGACCACGCCGATCACAGGGCCACAATTGTCAGCCGCTGCCCCTCTGTCTCTGAGTCTTCTGCAGATCCAGAGCATCTACCGCGCCCATAACCCCTTGACGCCACATTCGGCGCAAGAATTCGTCACTAACGCCGCCCAATGACGAGAGGCGTAAAGACCTACAACGGTCGCGTGTCGGGCTTAACCCAACAGACGTTATCGACCAGGCGGCGGTCCTCCTTCTCATTCTTGATGTCGGAGCAGACGTCGTGCCGGTGAAAGATCTCGGCGAAGGGCTGAATGACGGCCACGGTGTAGTCCGAGCCGACGCTGTTGTCCTCCGTGAACTTCGCGCCGCCAGCCGCGTCGTCGACGTGCTGGCTACGGCGCTTAGAAAGACGGCTCCTCTGCAACTCAAGGACTTTACCCTGAAAAACAGTGAGCACACATGAGAAGATTGGTAGTTGTTGGTCGTCGTACCTCAGGCTTCGCAGCCGCAATCTTCTCAGTCGCGAGAAAATTCGTCCCGCAGAAGAACACCATGAAGCCGATGGAAATACCGAAGTTGCGCCAGACGAGCGAGCGATGATAGTTATAGGTCATGCTGACGTAGCCCATGCCATAGACGATAGTAGATCCCGGCACGGCACCCGTCGTTGCGCAGACAAAGTCCTCGCCGGACAGGTTCACGATGCCGGGACCCATGTGTACGTGCTGAGCAGTTGAAGACGCGCCGTTTGAACTCTACAACCAGGACGATTTCGAAGGCGTGGCCAATGGGGAAGATGATCTAGCGGAACCAGACCATCATGTCCCGCGTTGGAAAGGTGAAGTCTGATTGCCGGGTGAGCACGACTGTCCAAAGAGTCGGCAAAAACAACGTACTAGTGTAGATGGCGAGCGCCAACATGAAGACACTAGCCGAGGCCATGGTTTGCAAAAGCGCGCGACTCGCAGAGGTGATGGTTCGGAAGATCATGGTCATGGTCGTCGTGCAGATAAAGGTATAGAAAGAACGAGCCGACCTCGCGGCTCAGGTTGGATATACGCGAGGTTGATCGTAGTTGATCTTTGACGGCAGGCCACGAATTATACTGGCCACGGCCTCCAAAATCCATTGATACAGAGCAAAGGGCGAGTGCTTCTCGACGATGGGGCGTTGAGCGTACAGGGTCAGAATCTAATCAGAAGTCAGTACACGGCAGGCTCTGAACAAGGTAGAAAGCGCGTACCTCGTACATACCGGCGAAAGCCTTGGTCGAGCCGGCAATTTGAAGCAGAGCCCCACGACGGTAGAAGGTGTCCGTGTTCGGTTGCATGTTAGGACACACTCGCGATGATGAGGCCCGTGACGAAGTTACCGAATACTGTGACAGAAGTTGATCATGTCGCTCCTGTGCTGCTGGCTCGGCACGAAGACCGATCTGCCTGCCGAAGGAGAGCGTGTACGAGGACTTGACGCTCCTGCAACAAGATCGGTACCCGCGTGCATATATATGCCTGCAATGGCTCACGTACAAGGACTTTGGCTGCTGACTGCGGCACGAGCGCTGAAACCTCTTGTACTGCTTGTCGTCGACCGGGAACTGCGCATTGTACGTCTCGATGTCGCGGAGCAGCTGCTGCCGCGCGCGA